ATATATATATTGCATTACTCAAGTGTATAACACCTACCATGGCTAATGAACTTTTATTCTCACATCCTAAGCAATACGATATTTGCCTCCATCCTTTACAACAATTAGATCTTCATCAATTTATTTATTTTTTATTTATTTCTTCAATAATCCATAACATAAAAACAATTTTCCATTTTTGTTTAACAGTAAGGTATTATCTAACATTCCATTTATAATCTGACAAGTCATTCATCCTGATAATATTAACACCACACAAGTAAGTTTAACTTAAATTGTATATTCTGGTCATTAGAAAACAACCATTAGCCTATTACCGGGTAACTAGTTCCTTCGCCCATCTTATTCCATAATTTCCAATCAATATCCGTCTCTTCAAGGCCAAATAAATAATCTCATCAAGATGTTTATCCCCATTTCATTAACACTTTTAATTTTTTTTCCTATAAAAAATACCATTATAATACCTCTTTTCCAAAACTTGGAAGGGAATACTGACACTAATGAATTTTCATTAGTGTCATTAGTAGTTCATATCAGGATCGACTAATCAAATTCATTGTAAATGGCAAAATCAATGCCACTAATTCATGTCATTGACTATTTCTAACCTGAAATAGCCAATCAGATTTTTCTTTCTATAATACCTTGGAATATTTCTGAAAATATTGATGACAAGATTTTTGACATTATTAGCTTGCACTTTAGGAATATCTAATCAAGTTTCGTGTGATTATCGATATTAACAACACCAGTCGATATCATTAATTATTCTCACCCAAATAATTAATCAAGTTCAATATCTCTTATTTTCAGGGGTGATTATGACGATATTAGTAAGTCTTACTAACATCATTAGCCTCCACATTTGAGATTGACTAATCAAGTTTCATGTGACTGCTAATATCGACAGCACTGACCGATAATATTAACCATTCTCACCCAAATAGTTAATCAAGTTCGACATCTCTTATTTTCAAGGATGATTATGCCGGTGTTAGTAAAACTTACTAACATCATTAGCCCTCGCATTCGGGACTAGTTAATCAAGTTTTGTGTGATTGCCGATATCAACAACAAAGATCAATATCATTAACTATTCTCACTCGAATAGTTAATTAAGTTCAATATCTCTTATTTTCAGGGATGATCATGCCAATGTTAGTAAACCTTACTAACATCATTAGCCTCTGCATTTGGAACCAGCTAATCAAGTTTGATGAACGATCATCAATGAAGTCCTTGAATTTGTAATCTTAATGTTTGTTTACTTTTAATTATTATGAATTATATGCGTTAATAGGAAAGAAATGAACATACAAAATGTTATGCATGTACCATGAATGATGTGTTGTTGAGGTTTTACATTATTATGATATGATTGAGAAATGAGTATAACTGTATAGGATGATTGTTGATAACTTGGGATCTCGAGAAATAAGGAAAACTCTACTGAAATTTCAGCAAGTCACCAACAAGTTAGGTGGAAGAAAAAGAAATACCTGTTTTTTCTTAAGTTAAGGCTCAAAGTTCTTTTACAAATATATTAAATTACGGGGTGTTACATTAGCAAAATTAAACATAGGTGTTTGAACTGCCTTAGCACCAACCATGTTCAACCTAGTAAGGAGATCATGAATGTAATAATTTTGAGAAAGAAACAATCCTTGCTTAACTGGAATAACCTCTGCCTAAGAAAATAATGCAAATCACTAAGTTCTTTTTGAGAAAATATTTCACCTAAAGATGTGACAACATGCTACAAAAATGTACTGTTATTGCTTGAGAGAATTAAATCATTAATGTGCACGAACACATAATATAGAATGCCATCCTGATGAAAATAAATAAGAAGCTGTTAGACTTCAAATTAAAGAAACCCAAACAAGAAGGCTTGAGCATAATGCATTATACCAGGCTCTACGCGTCTGCTTGAAACCATAAATAGACTTCTAAAGAGAACAAACTTAATGAGGATGAAGCTGATCAAGAAAGCTGTTAGACTGATCGAGGTCGAGGGATCACATTCTAAGTGCCATGTGAGACTAAGGTAGTAAATTCATCCATCATGACCTTACGTCACTTAGCGTCCTTGAGAGCCTGAGAGACATAGGTTGGTTCCAATGATAGGGTAAGAGGGTACCTGATGGTATTTAAAAGCTGTTTAAAATAAAAAATATTATTTTGAGCTCGAATGACCATGAGATGAATGCAGGTAGGCAATGCGAGTGCTACAGGCATAGGAGACGCAAAGCAGGATGAATTATTAGTAGGAGAAGAGGAAGCCATACGTGGTGTAGGGTATAGAGTCACGGTTGGCGTAGCATCAAGCACTGAAGATTTGATGGTAAGATTATCCAATGTAACTATGCAAACTCGAGGAACAAGAGAATGAGGGGAAGGAGTAGGACACGATGTAGTAGTAGAATGAGGAGTAGAATGTGTTGCCTTTGTCAAGGAAAAAATATTTTCATCAAAAGTGACATGATGAGAGAGATAAATCATAATTGTGTGAAGGTCCAAACATTGAAAAACATGTTGAGTTAGGGAGTAACCTAGAAAGACACAAGGTTGGGATTTATATTGAAATTTATTTGCACAATATGGAATAAGCCAAGGATAGTATTGATAACCAAATATGAGCAACGTATGATGATAGTTAGGAACTCGTCCAAATAATACTTCAAAGTGACTTTGACGTGAGTATAAGACATTAGGAAGACAATTAATAAGATAAATTATCGTGGCAAATGCATATGATCAAAAAGTGGAAGGAGCCAAGGCATGATGTAAAAGAGTCATAACTCTTTTGACAATATATCGATTATGATGTTCAATGGTGGTCTTTTGGTGGAAAGTACACGGTGCAATGATAAGATGGCTAATATTATAAATAGCAAGAATAGATCTAAGTTTGATAAATTCATTATCATTGTCGGAATAATTTTTTTTAATTTTTCTAGAGAATTGATTTTCAACTATAATAGTGAATAAAAATAAAAGATACATCCAACTTATTATGCATTGGCAAGAACCAGCAGTTATTGATGAAATGATAAATAAGAAGTAAATAATAACGGTGGGAACCGAGAGGACTGTCCCCAAACATCAGCATACAAATATTCAAGGGGAGCATGAGCCATACGGAAAGTGACACTAAAAGACAATTTATGCGACTTATTCTACTGACACGAAACCCATGATAACAAAGACTGCGATGACACGAAACGCAGGACAATACTAAGAGGACGACCCAGGTAAGTTATCACTACGAAAAAAAGAAGACGAAAGTTTCGAAATCGGGTGACCCAGCCTCTGACGCCAACGATCAAAGGAGGCACAAGTGCCAGCAAAGGTGATGGCATGAACTTGAGATGAGGAAGGACATAGTTTCACAGGATAAACACCAACTTCACACCTACCGCGCATGAGAGGGAGTTGTGGTTATTTCCTTATATGGTGCATTGTGTTTCTTAGTGGATTCCAGCCTCTAAACATATGGAATAATAATATCATTTGTCTTTCCATGACTCAACAAATTTAGACAACGCCACCCGAGAAGAACCACCATCATTCAATGCGGCTTGTGCTGCAATTTTCATGGCTATGGCTCGCTCCCTAATCAACTTACCTTCCTCCGACTCCATCAACCCTAGAACTCGCTCCTCCACCTCGGCCGAACTCACGAATCCGTTGTCAGATTCATTCATCGGCAATGCAAGTTTCATTTCCTCCACCAAGAAGATCCTATTGAGCCTCTGCTCTGCGTATAGTGGCCAAGCCACCAATGGCACACCTGCGCAAACTGCTTCCAGCACCGAGTTCCATCCACAATGACTTACGAACCCGCCTACCGATGGATGGTTCAGCACTGCTACTTGCGGAGCCCACGACTTCAGCACGAGTCCCCTCTCCTTGGTTCGATCCAAGAAACCTTCAGGGAGCAATGAGTCTAAATCAATGTTTGGATGTGCCGCGAGTGCCACGCTTTTATTATCAGAAGGTGGATTCCGAACCACCCACAAGAACCTGTGGCCACTTCTCTCCAACCCGAAAGCTATTTCTCTTAACTGTTCCTTGGAGAACAGCCCCAAACTACCAAAACATAGAAAGACAACACTTCCAACTGGTTGCGAGTCCAGCCATGTTAGACACTCCAGCGCAGTACCATTGCGAGTGCCTGCATCATCTTTAGGACCTTCAGTGGCTATCAATGGTCCGATACAGTAAATTGGCGGTGTGCGGTTATTGGGTACACATAATCCCTCTGATAATGTTTTCACAGCTCTGGCTTCAAGTGATGCAAAAGTGTTTACAACAATACCTGCTGATTCGGGAAAGCTGCTTGAGGAATCTAAAAAGTTCTCATAGGACTTATCGTCGCGATCAAGTACCGGTATTGGCATGTCAGACGATGGAATTGGGGGAACACCGGGAATATGAAGAAGGGAATTTAGATCTTTAAGACTTTTTGTGGTGGTGTTATGAATGGTTGGGAAATAAAGGAAAATAGCAAGAACACCAGCACCAGAAGAGGAGAAGTGGTAGCCAGGGATATTGAGTTCCTTGGCAACAGAGAGAGCAGCACAGCAAAAGACGTCCACAACAAGTCCATGAATGGTGTAGTTTTTGGAAATGGACAATAGTTCTTCACGAACGTGAGGATTGCTGAGGCGAAGGACCTCAGAAGTGAGTTCTTCATGATGGGTGGTTTTTGTAGAAGGGAGGGTTACAGTAGGAAGATGGTGGAATTTGATCGAGGGAATGGTGGCAGCAACGTTGGCAATGTAAGGGGCAGTGGAGCCAGAATCATAGGGCACAGAAGTGATGAGTATGTGAATATAAAGGGAAGGATTTTGGGTCAATAAGAGTTTCCCCAGTTCCACCACAGATATCAAATGGCCAATAGGTGGTGATGGGTACAGAACTATGGCCTCCTCCATGGCTGCTCGTACCCTTTCCTATACCTCCGTGTGTGCTTGGAGAGAAAGAAAGAGAGAGAGCAAGCAAAACGTGTAGAGCAGTTTCAAAAAGAAAGGAATAATCTCACAAACAGCATCTGAGCATGAAATAGGGTCAGATACAAGATGTTGCCCCTAAGTTTTCAATGATTTGTCTATATACCTACTACTTAATCGTTCTCAAAATCTTTCATCTTCGTTTCTCGTACTCTGCCAGAACAATAACATCGTAGCAACCTACCAGTTAAACCTAAATTTCTTAGAACAATAAAATCGAAGCAACCTAGCTACCAGTTAAACCTAAATATACAGTCGGACGTCAGAATCCAAGTGTTTTAGTACGCAAGCTACATCTTCTAAATTTTCAAGGCAAAAGAAGACAATTGCGTTTATCTTTCCCTGACACGTAGCTACCACTTCAATGGTGGTATGCAACATGCCGCGGACTCCTACTTCATAAGTATTCTCGGAGAAGAAAAAATCCGAGACCGGGTTATTAATTTAATTGGATTTAATAAGTTAGTATAATTTTAATAATACAAATAAAAAAAATACAATGATAAAAAATATAAAAAAAAAACAAAGAATACCGATTCGATCCCATCCATGTGGTGATGGGTACAGAACTACTGCCTCCTCCATTGTTCTCCCTATTGAGAGATAGAACGAAAACAAGCAGGCTACAAAGTTTTGTAAGGTAAGGCAAGCGTTTATTATTTATTTTTTCTTTTAAAGAAATGTACCAATAATTTACTTGCTGATAACACAAGTAACACGACCATAGCAAATAATAATAATAATAATAATAATAATAATAATAATAATAATAATAGATTACAATGGTTGAAATAGGGTAGGACATAAGAATCTTAGGTCATGAAGTGAAAACTTTATTACAATTTACGTTTTTTTTAAATTACAATATCTTAAATAAATTTAAAAACCAACTTAAACAAACTAGAAAATTCAAAAAAATAATAACATAATAAAATTTATAAATAAACTAAGAAAAATAAAATTATTAATTTCATCAACACTTGATTTCCTAAACTAAATAAAAGAAAAAAATCATAAAAGAAACAAATTATTATCCTAAATTAAGTAATAATAATAATTATTACATTTTTTTTTGCTTATAATCCTCCAATTTCACAAGGCTTTGTCCAAAAATCAAGCCTTCCTCCCTAGGCTTTGTACAAAAATGTACAAAGCAAGCCTTCCTCAATAGGCTTTGTACAAAAATCAAGCCTTCCTCTCTTTCTCATCTCAACTGTTCGGCCATTGACGTGGCAGGTAAGAAAGAGACGAGCAAGAGAGGATATCTGGAATTTTAAAATATTTTTTATTTTTTAAAAGTTATTTTTGATATAGTATATCAAAATGATATAAAAAATTAAAAAAAATTAATTTTAAAATAATAATAAAAAATTATTATTTTTTAAAATATTTTTAAAACAAAAAAAATATAGGATTAAATATCCATGTATAATTCTACAGTATAATTCTACATATATTGTATCTAGAGAGAATTTGTGGCAATCTTAAAAGTAATCATTTTCATATGATTTGTTGTTGTCGGATTTTAGCAAGGATAAATATCTCTTCCTATTTTTTTTATTTTTACTGAGGTAAAAGTAAAGTATTCTTAAAAAAAAATAAGAAAGAAGAATTGACACAGAAAAAAATAATATTAATTGAGCTAAATGGTATGCTGGCTGCGCAGCTAAGTTACGCCACTTGCCATGTCTCTTGCCAATAATTCTTATATTAGAGACCCTTTTTACAATAAATAAGAGATTTTTTGAAATCCGAGACAACCAGTAAAGTAAATTTATTATATCATTTGTCATGTAATTTTGAATTTTTTTTCTTACCATTATTATTAGAAAGGTTCTCAGAATATTTCCATATATATATATTGAAATCGACATATGAATCACGTCACACACCTTAAATTTATTGGGTTGGATCGTTTTTAACAATACATAAAGCGATAATTAAAAATTATTTTATTAATTATGCACATAATAATGATATATAATTAAATTATGTTCTTAGAGCGGTTAATTTTAAAACCTTAATATTCACACTTATTTCAAAAAATATTTATCAATATATAATATCTTGTATGTATTTTGAATTTTTTTATTTTTATTAAACTCAGTTGAGATATAAAAAATAAGAAACTCTATTTATATACTTTCTAGATCCTAGTTTTTTAATGTCCACTATTATATTCAAATGTTGGAATAAAAACCCATTATAATTCAATGATGCGAATCTCTAGAAGGGGACAAAATTAAGTCTTAAATGAATTTATAATTTTATAAAAAGAATACATAAAAAATTGATATATTTATGAAAATAATTAATATAATTTTATAAAAAGAATACATAAAAAAATGATATATTTATGAAAATAATAATAATAAAAAAAAAACAAAATAAAAAAAGCCAGGCTAGCATTCAAATGACGCATGGCTGGCCATGGCAAGCCTATGCCATTGCGCACCCCAGGTATTTAAAAACTAACATTTGAGGAGAAAAACAAAGTAAATTCCAAGCAAAAAAATTGTAGTAAATCGCCTTAAGATCTTTAAAAGTCAAATCCAAGTTTCTAATTTGTTTTTTAAATCCAGTCATGTATCTCCATTTTGCAGCAAATTGCAGCATATTAAGAAGGTATTTGGCATGGCCATCCAACAATTCTAATCAACAAATTAATATAGGAGGTATGTGAGAGTGTAGTAGTGGTTGCTTTTCAAAATGTTTTTTATATGGAAATGCATTAAAATATTTTTTTTATTTTTTAAAAATCATTTTTAACCTTGATACATCAAAATTATCTGAAAACACCAAAAAATATTAATTTAAAGCAAAGAAAATAAAAATAAAATGATTTGTTTTCAAAAACGCTTTTAAAACATAAAAACAAATAGATAAATTGTTATTTCCTTTCTTTTGATTTCTTCATGTCTCTTCCCAAGAAACTGTGGGAGAGTAAACGATTTATATACTAGGACCAAAGTAAATATAAGTCATTTATAGGGACTAAATTTGAAACAGATGCCCCAAATAAAATGAAAATATCATTCCCTATGCATGGATTGAATTTCTTTCAAAGTGTTTTGATTGATTGAATTTGTATCCTAGTGCTGACCTTTGTCTTGACCAATGTAACATGGTGTTAGGAGTGCTATATATAGAAGTAAATCACTAATGAGTAGGAGTTATGGTGATTTTCTTATACAACCCCTCAAAATGGACGTTCCATTAGCAATGTTGATTTTGTCACGTAACAAGTTGAAACGAGACCGAGTGAGAGGCTTTGTCAGTAAATCAACAAGTTGGTCATCCATGTGAACATGAGCAACACGCAGTTTACCACGATGAACAAAGTCACGGACAAAGTGAAGATCAATAACGATACGTGTGATCTTGGAGATGCATAACAGGATTCAGACTAAGATAAGTGGCACCATCATTAACACAAATTAGGAGCGGTGGTTCACGTAATGTGAGACCAAGTTCATCAAGAAGAGACTTTACTCACACAATATCTGAAGCAGCAATAGGCAGTGCCTTATACTCAGCTTCTGTAGAGGAACGAGCCATAACCTTTTGCTTTCTAGTATATTAGTTGATAGGCTTATTACCTAGAAAAATTATATAAGCCATAGTGGACTTCTGATTATCAAGATCAACACCCCAGAAAACATTTGAGAACCCCCGAAGCACAAGATTTGATTAGCGATGCAGCAAAAGAACGAAATGAATGGTCTATTTGACATAGAGCAAAAGCCGTTTAACATGTTGTGAGTGCTTTAGCGTTGGTTGGTGCATGAACTGAGCAAGATGATTGATTGCAAAACCCAGGTTTGGACGAGTGAGCGAGAGGTATTGGAGAGATCCAATGGTGCATATGTATTCAATGGCATCACAACTAGCTAAACCATCATCAATGTAAAACCTCTAGGCGAAAAATTATAAATTGACTAGTTTCATGTAAAACAAAAAGACAAATTCGTAACTCTTGATTGGGTTATCATAAAATTCTAAAAATTTGCATGAAGCCTTCTAATATGATGCTTTAGCTAGGGTTAAAATTTCAAAAATTTTAGAAACATTTAGAAAATTTGACGAAAAATCATAATTTGACTAGTTTTACGTTATTGGATGTAATTTTAAATCCAGCCATCAGATTGAGCTAAAATTTTATGAGAAATCTTAAAATATATTGGATGAAATCCTTTTAAAATTTTAGGATAAATAAAGCTTGGTAGTGCTAGCAAAGAATAAGGATCGTCAAATGGAAGTAAAAAGACTCATTAAGGGTAAAATGGTAATTTACCATTAAAAATAAAACAAGGCAGCCCCTTTTCTGTTATAAACTACCGACTGGGTAGTAACAAATGTGAAAAAAAAAAAAAGAGAAGAACGTGAGAAATCAAGAGAAAAACAAGAAAAAAATCAGAGAGAGCTTTAAAACTTGTAAGATTGAAAGACTTGGAGCATTAAATTAAGGAAGAATCAAGGGAAGGAAGATATAAGAAAGGTGAGGAAAGCTAGCCACAGTAGGAGGAGAAGAAAAGTTAGGAGAACTTAGATTGATAAGCATGAAAAATTTAGATTCTTACTTAAATGAAGTGTTTTTGGGTTCATTTGAGTAAGTTATCAAACATTGACAATTAAATTTGATTTAATTTCTATATTCTTGATTTTTTCTTAAATTAGAGTTCTTATGAAAATTTAGAGGTTTTGAGAATAGTAGTAAACGTGATGGAATTGAGGTAGAATAGTATAGAAATAGTGAATGTAAGTAGTAATTAAGAAAGAAATTGAATAATTTTGAAGAAAGGACTTGTAATTAAGGATGAAAAAATATAGGAATGACTCGTACACTTGAAATACTAAGGAAAAAATAAACTTTGAAGCACATTGAATCTTCTTAGATTTCTATCTTAGCTGTCTCTTTTTTTATAGATTGTAAATTTAGTTCAAATCAAACATAGATTTCAAGAGATTTGCATCGGTTCTTCTTGGCACTCTATAGACATATATAAATGTATCATCCATTTTGGTCAAGGGTTTTTTCTTTTAGACTTTGAACCCAAGTTCATTTATCGTAACAAACTTGTCCT